AGAGATGGATGGATGGATGATGAATGGATGGTGGGTGGACTGGCGGGTGGGTGGTGGACGGGTGGGTGGGTGGGTGGGGAATGGGTGGACGAAGAGTAGATGGGTGGGTTGATGGGTGGGTGGATGGATGAATGGATGGGAGGGTGGAGAGATGGATGGATGGATGATGAATGGATGGATAGGTGGACTGGTGGATGGAGTCTTGGATAGGCGGATGGGTGGCTGGCTGGCTGGCTGGGTGGGTGGATGGACGGGTGATGAATGAGTGGGTGGATAAGTAGATTGGTGGATGGCTGGGTGAAGGGATGGGTGGGTAGGTGGAAGGGTTAGTGAGTGGATGGATGAGCGATGGGTGGACGGGGATGGGTGAATGAGTGGATGAAGAACGGGTGGATGGACAGGTAGGTGGGTGGCTGGGTGGGTGGATGGATGAGTGGTTGGATGGGTGGGTGGGTGGGTGGATGAATGGGTGGATGAAGAAGGGGTGGATGGACAGGTAGGTGGGTGGGTGAGTGGACGGGGGGACGGATGAATAGATGGGTGGGTGGATGGATGATGGATGGGTGGCTGTATGGGTGGGTGGATGGGTGGATGGGTAGACAGATGAGTGGGCAGACGGGCAGACAGATGGTGGGTGGGTGGATGGATGGACAGAGGGCCCACTGGCTATTGGCACATGCTCATGTATTGGTGTAAAGCTGGTATATGACAGCAAGGTTACCACGTAAGTGGCAAATGGTAGAAAGTCCAGTGGTTCCTAACATGGGGGGTGGGTGACCAGTCATTAGGTGGCAAATGGTGGGTGGGTGAACGGGTAGCAGAGTGTTCTAGAGCTGGGTGGAGGGCTGGCGAGTTGCTGGGAGGAGCAGGGTGATGGGGAAGCCAGTTTCTATCCCCCCAGGGCAGACCTGACTTGACTCCTCCCCCCCCAGGCCAGGACCCGAGCCCCGCAGGCCTGAACGCAGGCTCCGTGGCCAGCATCGTCCTGGGACTGGTGCTCCTGGCAGTGCTGCTGGTCCTGTGTGGTCCTCCCGCCTATAAGAAGCTGGTGAAGAAATGTAGGTGCTGGTGGCCTGAGTGACGCTGCCCCTGGGGGAAGATGGGGAGGGGCGGCCTAGGAACCCCTGGAAGAGGGGGGTCCCGCCTCCAGAGAGCTGTGCAGAGGTCCCCTCTATTTCCCCAGCCCTCCCTTCTCCTGCCCACTGGCCTTTTCTGCCCAAAGTAACAGAAACAGAAAGTAAAGAAAATCATAATTGCTGATTAGCCCGCATCCGGGACAGCTGAGATCCCCAGCAGGCCAGAGAGAGGCTATGGTCGTCCTTGAGGCTGGGGCAGGCCCTGGGGCCTCTGATGGCAGGAGACGTGTCCCAGGCCGGGTGCCACCATGGACGGCTGCCCATGATAACAACTGGGCCACTTCCTTTCTCGGCCTCAGTGGATGATGAGAGAGGCTGGAACAGACAGCCCGGTGGGGGTGGTGTTGGTCCCCGGCGTCCACCCGGGTCTGGTTCTAAACGGCCGTGGCCGTTTCTCCTGGGGAACCAGCCCCATGGCACCCTCCTCGGGCATCGATGGCTCCGTTCCCCCCTGAGCAAGTCAGAGGGGCTCTGGGGCAGAACCCAGCAGGCCTGCCCTGGGCTGCCCCTGCTGCCGCCTCCCACCCTCCCAGGCCCGCCCT